GGGGGGAAAATATGAAAAAAAGAAATGATGAAGCATTTGTACAACAGACCACTGAGGTCTGAGAGATACTGACAAGTTTAGAAGCGTAGCAACTGCACTTTACCAGTATGTTGAATACCATTAGTACTATGCATCCTCTTGCTCTGACATTGCCTACCTTTAATGGAATCAATAATTCTACTAATTTATGTCGACCAAATAGGTAAAACATAAATTTCATACTTAAAATGTTACAAGTTTAATTTTTTTTTAATTTTTTTTAGTCGAGTCGGACCTAATGGGTCACCTTAGTCAATTAATCTTTCATGTGTGATTTGCAAGTTACTATATAGAAATGAAATTTATCCAATGCACACCTCTAGGTAATGAAAAAAATAATTCCACTAGTTTAAACACTATTATATTAATATTATTGTTTCCACACTCAATATCTCACATGGCTGCTAATCAGTAATAATACTTCACACAAATTATTCATGATGTTACATATTTTGATACTTTGTTCAATAGAAATATTTCAAATAATTTTTGTTCAATTGAAATATTTAAAATAAATTTTTTTAATAGTAATACTAGCTGACTAGAACTGACAACTGGGTAGGGAGTATACTCTTTGTCTCTGTTTTCGGAACTGTACCCTACTGGGGAAATGAAATCCTTCTCCATCTCTGTCCTTGTTCAATTATCTAGTCAAACTAGTTCTGATGTAGTATATACGGGCAGTATTAACTACAAGGTACGATTCTAGGGTTGGTTTCGGTTACGGATCATTCGCCTAGTCTGTTGGTTTAAGTTCTAGAGCTCAGAATAGTACTTGACAGTGGGTCAGAGATTTCCGAGCTAATAGCTAGCGTGTAGAAATAACCAAAAGTCCCCATCTCAGCAATAATTGCGGTAGTTATATAGGGAAGAGGAGGGGACAAGTTTCGGTTTCACGGTGTGTACGACACGTGAAATCCATTTACGGGCTCAGGCCGGGGCCCAATAGGGCTTGACCATGTGCCCTGATATTCCTGAAGGTACTACATTCTACTGTTGTAATTAGGTCGGTAGGTCGGTAGGTCGGTCCCTACCTGAATAGATCTAGGGCGCAAATACCATAAAGGCGCATGTGTACATACGCTTCCCTTAACGTAACTCGACAAGAGATAATGGTCAGGGGAGTGTGAGGACGAGGTCGATGCGGGTCGAACCGGGTCTAGCTCGGATAGAGGAGGGTCCGCTACCGACCATCGTACAAGCACGATTATCACAAAATTATCACAATAAGTACAATTCTAAATGTTCAAGTAAATAAAATCTAAATATTAAGTTTATTATAATCTTAAATACCGAATCTTCATCGAATCCTTAATGACAAGAGACATAACAAATATAAAATGCAAATGGTTTTCAAACAACTAAGAACAGACAATTACAAAATGTCAACAATCCAACATCAAAATACAATATAAATAATCTTCAATCTTCATTTTTTAAGTGTAAACCACGAGGTGTACCAAACACCTTTCTACAATCAACTAATGTTATCAACTAGTTATACCCTCTAATTAACCCAATCAGCTAACAACTAACAGTCATTTACCAAACAGTGCCTTTATTTATGATAAAATTGGTCAATTTAAGAGTCCATCCTCCAACCTTGCACTTCCATTAGCATATTACTTATCAATTGTTGCAAGTTCAAATATAAAGGAACGGATTGTGTCATTTGTTACAGGTCATATGATATAGTATAAAATTAATTTAATAAAGAAAAATAGTGTAAATAGCATGTAACCTATCTAGACCGGAAAGGTAAATAAAGGTTGTTTGATTTAGATTTAGGGTTTAAGAAGATGGGGATGGAAACCTAGCCAAGATGTAACTAACCAAACAAACACTCTAATATCTATTAGAGATAAAAGATTATTATATTAAGGAAGGGATTGGCATTGCATTATTGGAGTAGGTTATAGCTTAGCTAGGGGTGATTGGGGTGAATGGTGAGATGCAGAGGTTGACTAAGAATGGTCACAAACATGACATAATCTCTCTAAACAAACGGATGACCGACTGGATAGAACATGATTCTTGTATTTAAAATGTAGGAGAATTTAATTCTTGTCAACTAATACTCTTCTTGTCAAGCTCATCACAAAGGATTTTTCTAGTGCGATTTATCAAATCTTTTCTATGTAATTTATGAACTATTACATAACATGATTTACCTAGTGTTCTTGTCAAAAAAAAAAAAAAAAAAATTAAAAGGATTAAGGAATCCCAAGAAAGAATTGGCAATCTATGTATCAATATTCCAAATGGTACCTTACTTAGTTGCCAACTTGCCAACCAATGAGATGGGGTCTTACTGATAATGCCAGCTCTTTGTAGGTTGAAACATGAAAGTAAGATTGACAGGTGCAGTTATGATTTTCCCATGTTGGAAACCCTCCTTTAATAATCAATAAATTAACTACACATGAATCTAAAGTGGCTTTTCAATCACCATCATTGCTGCATGTATATATGGAGCCATCCATTTAGCTAGAATTCTAGACATAATAGACAATCCCAACTCCCATCCCCCCTTATCACTCTATATCACACCCCCACCACCCCAACTAAAAAGTAGATAGAATGCCCGCATGAACAGCTCAACTGGTCATAGAGGCAAATTATATCGTATATCGCGGTGCATAATCGATTATGTACCCCGCATCAAAATGATGTCGTTTTGTTTAATGAAAAGAAACGGCATCCATTTCTCGTCGTTCCGCACCCTTCCGCAAAAAGTAACTCTGTTATTCAGTTTAATTTTGTATACACTGCGGTTTTGGTTCAACACAACTATAGTTTCATTTCGATATAACTACAGTTTCATTCGATATTTATAGACTCAAATATGTGAAAATGTTATTTAATTTTATTTTATATACACTATAGTTTTATTAAAACACAACTACATGATCATTTTGATATAATTACAGTTTCATTGTACAATATACATTCAAATATGTGAAATGTTATTCAGTTTCATTTTATATACACAGTAATTTTATTTCACCACAACTACAGTATCATTTTGATATAACTGCAGTTTCATTTGATAATATAAAAATAATACGTAAGGCAGTGTCGGTTTAGATATACTGTAGTGTCAGTTGGTAATTAACATGCAAAAAAATGCACGCTTTGTTAAAATTAATGGCGCGCCGTTTCTTTACTTAAGGAACGGCGTCGTTTTGACCGCGGTACACGATATAAAGACTGGGTCATAGGGGTGAAGTTTGGGAAGAAAAAGTAGTTAGGATTATACTATTCTTCCCAAAGGTTGAATCCCTGACCCCAAGGGCCCCCACACCCCGACCCGACAGAGCATTTGAGAGGCTGTAAACTACAGAAGCTATACCTTTGCTTATTGTGCACAAGGAGTCCCCCTCACTTTGAGATGTTGCTTCCACACTATCTGCTAGTGAGACTCGATTCCTGATTATTCTTTCCAAACTTCACACCTATGACAACTGAGCTGCCCGGAATAATTAGGATTATACTATACTTCATTCTAACGACAGATCTGTCATAACTTAACTGATTAATTAACCAGTTTAAAAAATTCTACATCAATAATCGCAAAGTGAAAAATTTAATTCACCAATATACAAGTTAAAGAACTTGTAATCCGTTAAAACACAAATTAAACAAATAATCTTTTTTTTTTTCCAAACCAAGTTTACAACTAAAAGCTACAAACCAATTAAGCACATTAATGTCACTCATTTCTTAGGTACCATGGGAGGGTGACAGCAGGTTGGCAATGAAGAAGATTGAGGTAATACTTTCACTCAAACGTATTTCCCAAACTAATTTGGTCTAGATATCAAAATCTTCTTATTTTTGTTCGGGACACACGCACCCACACATAATCTTCCCGTTTCAGTCAATTTTCCCGGCCCGTTGTTTAATTTTGTGGTTGAATTAAAAGAATAGTAGTACAGTACATGCCTAATATAAGAATTCACATATCAGATAGGGCAGTTGTAGCTTTGAATGCTATATATTGAATTGCTTCACTCATCAATTTATTAGAGCTGACAAGTAACCATGCACTAATAAGTGCTGCATATATTATATAATATATATATATATATATATATATAGAGAGAGAGAGAAGTGTTGTAGTAGTGCCCTAAAGAAACTATCACTGTAATGGCTCATATCAATATCTTGCAAGGTCCCAAAATAGCCAAAACATTCAATATAATGTTGATGTTCTTTAATTTCATGCCCTTTAAAATTGATTGCTAGCTAGCTTGACAGCAACCTAATTTGCAATGACACTTTCTGCACACCTAACCCTAGATCTCACATATGGCCTAGCTAGCTAGCTAGCTAGAAAGGCATGCAAAATCTTCTTCATTTTTTCAATTCTCAGACTTTTCCAACTAACACTACTACCTCAAATTTCATTTCAAATTTGGGTTTCCTTTACTACCTCAAATGTGATAGTTGCCTACTTACTAAAAGAGGGATGGATAGTACACACTATTGTGTAATTATTGAATCCCTAATTCCAAGGGTCTCTCGCCCCCGACTCTGGACAAAGCATATGCAAATCACGGTGACTCGATAGCTCAGCAGGAACAAATGCATGTGGGCACAAACATATCTGGGCACTTGAATTGGATTTACCGGGCCGGGACTCACTTTTTTCCAGCTTTTTCATAAATGATAATATGGTAAATAAACTTGAACTTTGTCAAGAATCAAGATCAGAGGCCGGATTGGACTGATAAATTAAAGCAGAAAATTGAAGAACACAGTACAGTGTTGGAACTTGCAAGCTAAGAAAACACTCTTATAATCAAGGGAATTGAAATATTATATTATATTATATATATATATATATATATATATATATATATTCCTTTTCTTGATTCTTGATCGGAGCTAGATTGGAAAACTTTGACAATTGAAATGAAACATTAATATTATAGTTATTATAATATATAATATTGGTTCTAGTGATGATAATCCAGAAGGGAGGTTGGTTTGCCGGAAGAGAGGTGCTGGTGGTGGTCCTCCGCCGTAGACGACAGCCCTGAGAGCTCATTATTGTTGGCAAATCCTCCCATGGCGGCGGCGTAAGAGAAAGTGTGAGGAAAAAAGCTGGACTGAAGGGGTTCCCTCTGAGAAAACACTTGGTTCTGGGCTATAACAGGTGGATTGAAAGAGCCCTCTTCTGGGCCGAGATTCCAACTGATTAGCCTCTGATCATCAAAGAAAAAGATGGATGATGACGAGGAAGAGGCGTCTGGGAAAGACGAGAGACAATTTGGGTCCAAATCAGATACATTATTTCCCATTGGGAAAACTGAGAAACTGGGATTATTATTTGAGCAGTTCTGAAGAATTATCCTTTCTTCTTCTTCTTCTTTCATGGAAGTTGCAGCGTTGAGGGCTTCAATCTCAGCTTTGGCCTCCTTCATCAACCAATCAATGGCTTTACTGGGTCGGTCGTATCCGAGCCGGTCCTGAACGTCGTAAAACTGGATTGCGGTGTTCGGCGACAGCCGCACACGGCGGTCCCGAGTTCCCCGAGCGGTGCAGACTTTGCTGTGACGGTCTTTCCGGCCGGTGGCGCGGACAATCCGGCCGCCGCCGCCGCCGCCGCCATTCACAACCATCACTTCCCCTCCTTTCCCTCTCTTCTTCCCCTTCACTCTCTGCGTTTCTTGCTCGAACCCATCCTCCATTATCGCCCCTTTTCTCCTCCGCCTGCATTGTTGAACCCCGCCGCCATAGCTCTCTTCATCTTCTTCTGAATCATCTTCCCCTTCACACAAGTGATGAAGCACAGGATCCATATCTTCTGCTCTCTCTCTCTCTCTCTCTCTCTCTCTCTAACTTTTTCACAGCTCCAAAGCCAAAAGCATTGCTGAGGAAACTTTTTGCAGGCTACCTATGAAAGTAGAATGAAGTGCAGCTAGCTTTTATTATGGTATCCTAGTTTAGTTGCATTTGTACACTACAACTACTATATGTTATATTTATATTCATGTCTCTCTTATAGCTTATTGGTGTGTGTGTGTGTATATATAGTGAAGCCACAAGACATGGTGATGGAACCAATCTTGAAAATGAACCAATAAGGGCAATGAAATTTTATCTATTCAAACAAAACATATATGGTTCAACTATCAATTTAGATTTTTAGTTAGAACAGAACATATCAGTTGATTTTCATTAGTAATTTCTCCTTTTACAATGTGTGATGAAAGATTGACTAGATTCAGATCTGTTGTACAAAACAAAATATCTGAATGTTAATTTGATCATATGAGTATTAACACGGAAATTTAAGGGAGGGTTTAGTTCATGTTATATATATCGCACAACATAACTCCCCCCGATACTGTATGTAAGTATTGCAACCCTATATATCTTTATTTGGTTGAGAGAATGTGAGTCAGGTCTTTTCAAACAATGTTAGACTCCAGAAGAATGGTACCTAGTTCGATTATTTTAGACACGTTTTTGGGAGTCTCATTTTAAAATAATATGAAATTTTCTAGAATGTCACATCTATCGATCTTATACACTTAAAAGTACATAAAGAAAGAAACTTCTAGCTACTTAATTGCAAAATGAGTGCATTCCTTTTAACCTATGGGTATAGATATATACTATCTACTAGTGACTAAGTTAGAAGTAAAATGATAATATTTATAAATAATAAATTTTTATTTAATTAATTGAGCATGACAACAAAATAGCTATGGACTCAAAATATAGGCTGGTTTAAGTTATTATGACCCTTTACCAATTAATTTACAATGTGAGCTTTATCTAAAGTTTACATTCGCATAGTAATTACGGACTTAAATTTTACGAAAATCAAAGAGTTGCAGATTCCACATGGATCTGGTCCAAGTAATTAAGCTAGGCAGGGAGGGATGTTCAAAAGCATTCATTCTCCCTTTTGCTGTTGGGGTACCAGCAAGAACAGGAAAAAAAAAACTCATTTCACTACACTTTGGGATTCACAATTTCACTTTATGTGACATCTGTTTTTAAATTAGGGTTTTTTTTTTTTTTTTTTTTTTTTTTTTTTTTTTTTTTTTTATCCTCAATTAAGTACTGCCCACCATTATTGCTTTTTCAGCTTCTTTAAAGATTGGTGTAAGAAAGCCCAGGATTTGGACAAAAGTTTGATACAGAATCCCAGTTTAGATGTGGGATATATAAGTAATAGTAAATGCTGCAAATTAAAGACTGGCCTGGCATGGGGTGGTGAGGATGAAGGTGAGGTGTATGATGGTTTGCCTGGGTAAAGATATGCTTTCAAAGGATATAGTCAAATAGGTTGATTAATTTAAAGAGAGTCAAGAGTTTTGTTTAATTAGTTGGTAATTGTAAGATTGTATTTTCTACCCGAGAAAATTTATAGGTTGGTGAGATGCATTTTGCGATTTACCGACAGTGCATTTAGTTAGCGGAAAAGAATATTATTTGAGGACTAAAATTTAGATTTCATGAAAATAGGGGTGAGTAAAAATAACCAACTATATAACCGAGAATCGATAATCTAATCCATTGAAATTTTTAGTTTTTTGGCCAGTTTTCGATATTATTATTTTATTTTTGGTTATTTAATTAGGTTTGTCACGGCAGGAACATAAGCAACGGTTTTAGAAACAATCCGTTCGAAAAAGACTCCAACAGAGCTGTCTTGTAATTCCGGAGATCCAGTTGTCATTAAGAAAAAACCTAAAACTACTGAGATGAGAACAGAAAGTCTGGATTGATTAATAATAAAGAACAGTACGGAATATAAATACAAGTACAAAAGTAGAATCCTAGTCTAATCCTTATAGTTATGCCTATTTTAATGGTTGAGACTTCAATGTGTATTTAACTATATGGGTATGTAGTGATCTAATGAAGTTTGAAAAAAATATAAGTTATTTTAATTTTTCAGTCAGTTATGATTATGTTAAAATTTTTCAGTTATTTTGATTATTAACTGAAAATGGATCGAAATTGATTGTTACCTATATACGCCTACATGAAAATGAACAAAGACAAATTTCATATTGAAATAATTAGAATAAAGACTTAGACGCTCCTTAAATTGTCCAATGTATCTATTTTTTTTCTATATATAATTCAAAATATCTTAGAAAACCTTTAATTTATTTTTTTTCTAATTTAAAGAATGGAAACCCTAAGAAATTTATTATATATTCCGGCGAACCAAGATTCCATGACCCATAAGATTGAGGTGTGGATAAAGAATATGCTGCAATATGAGATAAAAATATCCCTGTGGTTGGGTCCCTCCTACGCTCGAGGAACAAGGGAAGTTGCATGCGGGCATGTGCATGGGCCTCCATCCTTTTCCACCATTTTGACCGCATTTTTAAAAGACACAAATAAATCACTCTTTGCATGGATATTATATATTCTAGAGTCCTCTAGTTAGTGCAATCAGCCCACCGATCAGAACATCAATAGTTATACTGTGGAGGATAGTTATGCTGTGCATCCGTATGCACCATGCATGGTGTATACGGATGTCAAAACGACGTCGTTTTATTAAAAAACGCGTGTCTCCCCTTTAAAAAAAATTCAGGTTCGATTCCCAGCAACAACATTATATTGTTCATTCATTCTGGAATTTTAGTTCATAGATTATGGAATTATAGTTCATTGATTATGGAATTATAGTTCATCGATTATGGAATTGTAGTTCATCGATTCTGAAATTTTAGTTTATAGATTATGAAATTTTAGTTCATTCATTCTGGAATTTTTAGTTCATAGATTAGATTATGGAATTATAGTTCATCGATTATGGAATTTTAGTTCATATGTTGTTGCTGGGAATCGAACCTGATTTTTTTTTTTAAGGGGAAACGCGCGTTTTATTAAAACGACGTCGTTTTTGCATCCGTATGCACCATGCATGGTGCATACGAATGCACCATGCATAATTTGCCTACTGTGGAACCTCGTAACAACAAAAATTTTCACAGAACATAATCACGCTTGCACAGCCAGCATTGAGTCACCGTGACTTATATCATGTTTTCAATGGGATTTGAACTCAACACTTCCACCTACAATCGTGACATCAAGTCAGGTGATAAACCACTACACTAAATTCAGGGTTATTATTTAGTATTGTTGGATTATTTAAATATAACATTTCAACATTTTTATATGACAAAAGAGTGGTTAAGTTACACCTATACAATCAATTGCCGAAGTGACTTTATTTTATCAAGTCCTCAAACACATGCAATTCTAGTAACACATCGCCAATCTTTGAAGTCATCCAATCATCATAGAAATTTATTTGCTTCTTGAGGACATATCAAGCTTTAGACATTTTGGACTTTTCTATTTGCACACATTATTATGCCATTTTATTTACTAATGAAATTTGAAGGAAAATTATATTTTCTACTTTGAAAGGAACAATTTTTTTTAACATACATAAAAAAAAATTTAACATCAAAATATTATATAATACTCTATTTTTTGGGTGACAAAGAAAATCCACAACCAATACTTAATGAGTTAATGATATACACTGAATAAACTGCGCTCTTGTGTAATAACTTACAAACCACACGAGAGATCGAGATAAATTGCATTAAAAAAATCTCGTAAGACGGACTCAATCGATCAAAACGGTACGGTGTTGACATGAGTTGAACTCGATGGCTCTATTTTTAGATAATATTCAAATTCTACTAAGTAAAATTTCACTAAAGAAAATTAGCAATGCTGCGCTCAAACCCAAATTGCCGGTGCACTTGATGGCAGTCTTAATGGCGTATATTAGAGCAAAAACCACCACCTACTTGAATTAATGCATTATACACCCCCCCCCCCCCCCCCCAATACTATACCTTCGATTGTGGTCTCGTACTCTCTAAGCTCATCCTAAAAGTCGAAAAATGTAAATAAACATATCAACAATTAATTCAATTAGGAAAAGCATGCGAGATTTGCCCGTACAGACTTAGCTTAATGATTTCAGTAGGTAGTATTTGGGAGAAGAGATCAATGTTCGAACTTTGGCGGCAGCAGTGTGGGAATTATGCCAAAGTGGACAGAATTTAGCCCTGTTGTCATTGAGTCACCCTGATTTACATCCTCTTAAATGCTCTGTCGGGCCGGGATGTGGGGCCCCTTGGGGGAAGGGATTCAACCTTTTGGGAGAAGAAGAAAAGCAAGACTTCCGCAGTGAGCACAAGTCTAGCTTCTGTGGTTCATGTTCAGTTGAGTTACCATGATTTACATCCTCCCAAATGCTCTGTCGGGTCGGGGTGTGGGGGGCCCTTAGGGTTGGAGTTCAGCATTTTGGAAGAAAGAAAAGCAAGACTTCTCTCTCATGGGTAGTTGAGTGGTGAAGTATGATTCTAATATCAAAATGTCATGAGTTCGATTCTTATGAACATCTTTTTGATTGAACTCGTTGTGTGATGAAATTGAGCATGCACAACCACTTTATTTGTTAAAAAAAGAAGGGAAAATGGCACTTTTTCCCCCTGTGTTATATACTTATAGCACTTTTTCCCCCTAAATTATTTAAGTGGCCATTTTTCCCCCTGATATATTAAATGGACATATTTACCCTTAAAATAAATATTTCATTTATTTTTCTTCTCCAACAAATTATAACCACGATTTGAAAAAATAAAATACATTAATTGTTGAATTTTTTGAATACTTTAATTATAAAAAAATTAAAATTTTTAAATAAAGTTTGAACCAACAATTCAAATTGGATCCGAAATCGTGAACCGACGATTCAAAATAAAAATCAAATTGCGATTATATATACTTATATGTG